AAGGCAGGGGTGTATATGGCAGGGAGGGTATTATGACAAGGCGGGGGTGTTGAAATTTAAAAAACAACTACTTGTCCAGGGACTAAAGTGTTTGCCCAATCTACTTGTCTGCCGTGACAATCTACTTGTCCTGATACAAATCTTTATTGATAGTAATTTAGGAGACAGACCTGGTGTAGGGAACATAGTGTGGGGTGATAGGGATGTAGTATGGGTAAGACACATAGTGTGGGATGGGATAGGGATGTAGTATGTGTAGGGCATTGGAAGGCACATAGTGTGCTGTGGGATAGGGATGGCAGAGTGAGGCAGGGACAGGTGGCAGAGCGTAGGAGGGAGGGGCTGACAGAGCATGGGAGGGAGTGACAGGTAGCAGAGTGAGGGAAAGCGGGAGTGACAGGTGGCAGAGTGAGGGGGTGGCAGAGTGAGGGGTGACAGAGTGAGGGGTGACAGGTGGCAGAATGAGGGGGTGACAGGTGGTAGAGTGAGGGGGTGGTTAGTGACAGGGTGACTGAGGGAGGGGGTGACAGGGGTGACTGAGGGAGGGGGTGACAGGCGACAGATTGACTGAGGGAGAGGGTGACAGGGTGACTGAGGAGGGTAACTGGTGGCAGAGTGAGGGGTAACAGAGTGACTGAGGGAGGGAGTGACTGAGGGAGAGGGGCAGGGTGACTGAGGGAGGGTGACTGGTGGCAGGGTGAGACTGAGTGACAGAGTGACTGAGGGGGTGACTGAGGGAGGGTGTGACTGGTGACAGAGTGACATGGTGACAGGGTGACTGAAGGAGAGGGTGACTGGTGACAGGGTGACTGGGGGAGGGGGTGACAGTGTGACTGGTGACAGTGACTGAGGGGTGACTGAGGTTGACAGAGTGACTGAGGGAGGGGGGTGACTGATGACAGAGTGACTGAGGGGGGTGACAGGGGTGACTGGGGTGACTGGGGTGACAGAGTGACTGGTGACAGAGTGACTGAGGGGGGGACAGAGTGACTGGGGGGTGACTGGGTGACAGAGTGACTGGGAGGGGAGCTGACAGGGTGACTGAGGGGGGGGTGGGTGGGGTGGTGACAGAGTGACTGAGGGTGACAGGGTGACTGAGGGGTTTGACAGAGTGACTGGGAGAGGGGGGTGACTGGTGACTGAGGGGGGGGGTAGAGTGACTGAGGGGTTGACAGAGTGACTGAGGGAGGGGGGTGACTGGGTGACAGAGTGACTGAGGGGGGGTGACAGAGTGACTGAGGGGGTTGACAGAGGTGACTGAGGGAGGTGGCATTGCGACAGAGTGACTGGAGGGGGGTGACAGGAGTGACTGAGGGGGTTGGACAGGAGTGACTGAGGGAGGGGGGTGTGACTGCGACAGAGTGACTGAGGGGGGGGTGATAGAGTGCCTGAGGGGGTTGGACAGAGTGACTGGAGGGAGGGGGGTGACTGGGTGACAGAGTGACTGAGGGGGTGACAGAGTGCCTGAGGGGGTTGACAGAGTGGACTGAGGAGGGTGACCTGCGACAGACTGACTGAGGGGGTGACAGGCTAACTGAGGGGGGTGACAGAGTGACTGGAGTGACTGAGGGAGGGGTGACAGAGTGACTGGGGTTACTGGCATTGGAGTGACTGAGGGGGGTGACAGGGGTGACTGAGGGGTGACAGAGTGACAGGGGTGACTGGGGTGACAGGGTGACTGAGGGGGGTGACAGAGTGACTGAGGGGTGACTGGTGACAGCGGGGGTGACAGGGTTACTGGGGGTGTGACTGGTGATAGGGTGACTGAGAGGGGGTGACAGGGTGACTGGGGGGTGAGAGGGTGACTGAGGGGGGGTGACAGGGTGACTGAGGGAGGGGGTGAATTTAAAATAATATTATCTAATATTATCCCACATTCAGGGTCCCCCTCCCGCCCGGCTCTGGAAGGGGGAAAGGGGTTAATACTTACCTTTTTCCAGCTCTGGGCGGGGAGCTCTCTGCCTCCGATCCTCCTCCGTTCCTCCCCGTCGGCTGAATGCGCACGCGCGGCAAGAGCTGCGCGCGCATTCAGCGGGTTGCATAGGAAAGCATTATCAATGCTTTCCTATGGACGCTTGCGTGCTCTCACTGTGATTTGGCTGAAGGCATAACCCATTTCTCTGAAACTGCTATGTTTATAAAAGAATGGGTTAAGCCTAGCTGGACCTGGCACCCAGACCACTTCATTAAGCTGATGTGGTCTGGGTGCCTTGAGTGGTCCTTTAACATTAGCCAGCCTGACAAAATGATCACTTCAAATTACTGAATGTGCTTAGAGTTTAAAAGGGCATTAAAGGTATTCAGACCACTTCACCTCAATAAAGTGGTTTGGATTCAGTCCCCATGTTGTATTAACCCTGAATTGTTAAATATTGTTTTGTTTTCATTGTAGGGCTAAACACACCTCTGGTGGCAGTCTTCCTGACAGGCACCAGAGGTACTTCACCTAAATAGTGTTAAAGGACCACTATAGGCACCCAGACCACTTCAGCTTAATGAGGTGGTCTGGGTGCCTGGTCCATCTAGGGTTAACCCTTTTTTCTATAAACATAGCAGTTTCAGAGAAACTGCTATGTTTATGTTAGGGTTAATCCAGTCTCATTGACAGCCGCTAGAGGGCTTCCGCGTTTCTCACTGTGAAAATCACAGTGAGAAGACGCCAGCATCCATAGGAAAGCATTGTAAATGCTTTCCTATGGACTGGCTGAATGCGCGTGCAGCTCCTGCCGCGCATGCGCATTCAGCCAAAGAGGAGGAGGAGAGCTCCCCGTCCTGGCGACGGAGAAAGAGGTAAGTGACTAGGGGGTGACTAGAGCCCAGCGGGAGGGGGACCCTGAGGGTTGGGGCACCCTCAGGGCACTATAGTGCCAGGAAAACGAGTATGTTTTCCTGGCACTATAGTGGTCCTTTAACCCCTTAAGGACACAACTTCTGAAATAAAAGAGAATCATGACGGAATATTTCCATCAGAGGTTAAGAATGCATGTTCTTGTTCCTAACACTAGAGTGTTCCTTTACGGCAAAAAAGAGGCAATTCATAGGTAGAGTGCCAAAACTGAAGGAACATCTTATTGAGTCATACCATTGACCAAAAGGCAGACTTTCAGCTGTTGGAGAAATGCAAAGCTTTGGATCAACCATTTGGTTGCCCCTGTTTACAAAATGTCTTCCAAAACTTTGAACCGATGAACTGACCTTAGTAACGCTTCTCTCAGATTATCATTATATCTCGGAAATTTTACAGGGTGATTGCTCAATTCTCCCTACAGTATAAATAAATTACTGTCCATGAAAAAAAAACCTGAAACAACTCAAAAGCAGGATGCCGAATGTGGAAAAATTGGCAGAAGCATTCCGTTGGTTTCCATGGCGATGGTGCCACTTTTAGCAACTTGTTTTGTCTTGTTAAACATGGCCGTGTGGGTAAACACAGAGTTTATTTAAAAAAACATAATCACATTATTTATTTATTTATTGTTTGCAGCTGGTTCTTTGGTTTCTGGAGATGTGATGCAAATGAGTAACCTTAATTGGTTTACGTCAGTGATGGTGATGATACAGAGATTATAATTATAGCCATGTTTACGCCCCATAGATGATATCATTCTGTTTCATGAACTCTCCTTCCCATTCCCTTCAGCTAATTCCTACCGGTGCTTCCTGTCTGACAAGCTGAGCCTGATCCCACACGTACTATAACCACAAAGGCTTTCCTACCACAGGAAGTTTACAGACTTCTTATTTTCCTTCATTTCATTTTTTTGTTCCTTGTTTCTAATAAAATTGTAAACAAAATCAAAACATTGATTATTTAATGTGTACTATTCTTCTTCTTAAGATTTAAAGCACAGTCAAAATTTTATGTAGTTTTTTTAAAATCTCAATATAGATGTTAGAAAACTTTTTATGTTAAGATCTCTTTATTTTTTTTCATCATAATAAATCTGAAGCTTCTCTGACTCTTTTGTAATAGCAACACTAAGTCAAAAGAAGTCTATTCAAAAATTCTAATCTTATGGTAACGTAAAGGGATACTCCAGGCAGCCCTTTTTTCTCACCTCATTCCAGCGCCGGGAGCCTCGTGAAGCTGCGCCCCCTATTTCGTCAAAATGACGAAATAGGCGGGCGCTAGCAGGGAGCAATCAGGCGCTTCCATTCGGAAGCGTCATTGCTCCCTTGTGCGCATATGCGGCTTCGCCACACATGCGCACATAAAATGCCGCCCTATGAAGTCCTGAGCGCACTACCGCGCATGACTGACAGCTCAGCTCGCGGTCTTTGGCCCCCCCCCTTCTGCTGACAGGCAGGAGAGAGAAGGTGCACACAGTTCCTTCTCTCTCCTGCACACGTCAGACGTATTTTAATGCATCTGACGTGTACATGGCCTTTTTAGGGCTATGCATGATAGGAAGTCCCTCTGGTGGACGTCTCTGACGGCCACTGGAGGTATTCCTATCAAACACTGTATTTTCTCGCTAGCCCCATAGCGAGATGATACAATTGCATGAAAGGACAAGTCGGGGGGGGGGCGTGGTTTGGGCTCCGACCAAGATGGCTGCTCCGCTCCACCGATCCCCTAATAAGCACCTAAACCTACACTAAAATCTGCTAATGGGATGACACAGATGCACAGAACCTCCTCAAACCCCCAGAGGCTCGTGTGATGTTTTGTACAAATCAGTCAATAATTCCTGTATAACAAAGTACTCACTTTATTAATACATATATAACAGCATCTTCATATTGCAGCCTTGTTACACAGATTTTCTGCAGCCGCCATTTCAAATCCCTCAAACATTCCAACAACTGCCAACAAGAACAAAAGAACCAAAAGAAAGGAAGTGCATCATTCACAGCCAACAACAGCCCAACTGCCCAATGCCCATACATCACAATACATACACTCATACACTCACACAAAACCAGTAAAGCAAGAAGTGTGTCTTTTGCTCTAAGGGCTGGAGTGGAGGCAGAATTGAGGAGATTAGAGGAGCTGAATATCATCTCCCGGGTTCACAATAGTGAGTGGGCTTCGCCCATTGTTCCTGTGAGAAAACAAAAATGGGGAGATATGGATTTGTGGGGATTTCGGCTTGGCTTTTAACACACACACATACCGGCCCAACAGTCCATACATCACAGCTCGCAACCGGGGCAACAGATCGGTCCCGTGGACGGATTATTGCAGTCCCAGCCTGACACGTGCGCCAGGGACGGAAGTCCCAAGATGGCACCGACATCCAGAGCTCAGGGACCACCATGCTGGAAAGGATTGGGAAAGACTTGCGGAGCATGGCAGCCTCCATAGTAACTAAGGCTGAACCACTAACATGCCTTGCGGGCAGAGATGGTGGGCATCCGTATGGAAGTATCTGCACAGGCGAGCGCTCAAACAAAACACAGACCATGAGACAGGCGGCGATGGACATGGCGTTGGCTCAACAGGGTAAAATGCTTTTGAACAAAAAGAAAAAAGTAAAAAATCCATTTCACTGAAAATACAATCAGTGACAAAAGTTTTTGAACTGGAAATAATAAATGACATACGAACTGTAGAACTAATCTCAATAGTTAGCCTACATATAATGCAGAAAGGTCTATTAGATCCGGTCCTTAGAAACTTTCAAACGTGTAGTGAAAAAAGTCTAAGCCTTTCGGCTAAACCTCTCTTAAATCCACCGTAAGAGATTAGAATTGCAAGACTCTCTGACTTTATTAATAATAGAATGTGTCACAGTCTGCATAATTCATATGATCCTAAGTTAATAAGGTTACGGGGAGCATCCCAAATTATACTGCAGTGACCATAATAGTAATTAGGCAACTAAAGTATTGGCAGTTAAAAGTCCATACAGCGAAAGATCATTAGGACCGTTAGGTCTCACTGTCAGTGTAAACACAATGATGCCTGCTCGTGTTGCCAATATATGTGAGGTCAACTGTAGAAAAAGTATCTAGATAAAGTCAATATACAGTATCTATATTGGAAACATGTCTAAACAGCCAGATAGGAAACAAATTCAGATACTAATGTATCACCTATTCAGAGCTACTAGATACAAAGTGGGAGCTTGAGAGAGAGGAACAAGAAAAAAAGATGAACTAAATAGTGCTAGAGGGCAGAACCATACTTAGAATGTTGGTTGCCTGCCCTTAGTGTTAAGTGCCCAGTGCGAAAATATAAGTGAAAAAGTGACAGGTGAACCCGACGCGCGTTTCGGTGCTTAGGACATGCACCTTCGTCAGGGGCTAAAAAGGTAATGCTTTTGACCATGAGAAGGTCCATGGAAGATCTCGATAACAGGGGACGCAGGTGCAATATACGGGTTTGTGGGATCCCAGAGGCCGAAGAGGGAGAAAATGTAGAGGAGATACTCTTTTGGCTAATCCTGAAAGATGAAGCTGCTCAGCGAATTAAGTACGAAAGAGCCCACAGGGCCCTGAGGCCACGCGCCCTGGACGATGGGCCGAGGAAATCTAATATGTTGTCTTCACTCCTTCCCAACCAAGGAAGCCATTATGAGGAAGGCCCGCATCAGACCAACATGGAACTACCACGGCGCTCAAGTCTCTATGTACCACGATCTGTCACCTATCACACTGGGAGCCAGATGGGCGTTGCGGCCGGTGATGTCGGCTTTGCGAGAAAGCAATATTGTGTACAAATGGGGTTTTCCCTTTGCACTGCTTGTTAAACATCGGAATGGTTAGGCCTCTGTAAGCTGACCCAAAGAAATTCCTCAGTTCCTGGAGGAGCTGGGCTTACCGGCCACCAGACGAAACAGAGGTGGGCCCCAGCCGGGCCCTCTACCTCGACGACGAGGCGTGAGTATATGCTCTGCTCCACCGGGGCTCTCTCCACCCTTTGTCACACGCATAGCCTACAGTTTCAACGTTTACCCCCATTTTTGGGAGGGGGGATAAAATTGGGTGCCCTGCAATTATTTTTTCTTACCTTTTGGGGTTTGGGCAGGCACTTTAGGGGGGTATATGCGGTTATGGTCTAATCTGGTGTTATGAGATGCGGCTTCTGGCGACCCTAATCACCGTCCCCCTTCATGTGAGGACCCCCACTAAGGAAGGTTGGTCCCTGGCTGATATTTGGACATTGAAATGGGAAAGCTGGCTGGGAATCCCAGGGAATGACTGCCTGGGTCCACAGCACATACAATGTGCCCACTCACGAATACGCCACATCGGCCTGGATGGTTTGCTACCTCAACCGAACTTCCACTAACGGGGCACTATGCAATGACCTTTAGCTTTATTTTTATAATACACTCAGATATCTTCGAATGAAGCAGTTTGGAAGTTAAAATTTGGTATGATAGGACAAAATGACATGCTTTAATGTACATGACAAGGGTCACCACAGACTAGCTCCCAGATAGTAGTGGGATAGGGCAGAGCAAACTGAATAGCCAGGCAGTGAGGGACTCAAACAAGCAGGACAGGGACGGGAGACGGGATACCGAGTTGGGGGACACCACAACCTAATGATTGTCTACTATATATGATATGTCCCACATAGATAGTAAAAAGGAAAACCAATATGCGGTATTAAAAAGTGGGGAGGGGGGAGGAAGAGGTGGAAAGGGAGGGAGGGCAGAAAAGGAAAAAAAAACTAAATGGGGGAGGAGGGTGGAGGGTGGCATTAGCACTGGAGAGGCAATGGAAATAGGGGATGTTGCTGCCACACCAAACCCTATCCTAATAGGTGATGGGAAATAGCTAGAGGTCGGACCTACCCTCTCTTCTAATATACTAAGCCTAACCCAGTGTGACAAGATGGGAGGTAGGCGCCAACGATTGGATAGGCAGATCATACATATTAGGATGACGGACGTGTGGGGGGGGGAGGGAGGGGCAACTGTATCCATACAATGCAACAAGAAAACTGAGAGGGGTCCCAATAAGGGATGGGTAGTTTTGGGGGAGGGTCTGTGGGATCAGCAGCGCACCTATTTTGATACACAATGAGGGGGTCTCAATGGGGACGGCTAGGGTATATTAGGGTTACGGATCAACAGGTGGCGGCAGTAACAGGTGGAGGTACGGAAGGCCCTGGTTGCGAGATTGGTGTGGGGGGGATAATTGACTAGTCTAAACTAATGTTTGTTTTTTCCATTGCTAGCATACTTGTTTTATATTCATGCCATACAGTGCTACTATAAATGTGGGAACTGTATAATGGAGTAAATAGTGGAGTGGGCCGGACACATTACACACTCCCTGTGCAACCCTTGGGTGGAGCTTAGGCTACGTTTCTCAACCCATACTCGTGCATAATTTCCTACGTCGGACCTATACCTCCACATGGGAGGGGACCTGCTCATTCTCTGACCCATCGGAGTTAGAGAGGGACGTTGGGAAGTACTAAAACTGCTCCTTGCTTCTGGGCTATTCTCTTCTCCCCTGGGGTCTGCCCGGCAGGTCTCTTACACCTGGTTCCGGAGGAAGGGGGAGGCATAAACATCTGAGCGTTCACTCTTGCTTATTGGCTTTTCTCTCCACCCTTCTCTGTGCCTCACTGATCTTTTTTTCCTCTTCACCCCTTACTCTTCAAGTTTCTAGTCCACACCTGGGAGTTCGGGCCACTCTGGGTCCTTTCAGCTTGGGTCGGGAGACAGAGAGTTGGTGCAGTGTCCTCCACATGGGCTGGACGTGGTTCGGAAATAACCATGACATATCGTCACATCCCTTGTCCTTACTCTCAACTGTAGGGGACTAAATAGCCCAGAACGCAGAACATACCTGCTACAGGAACTGAAGAAGACACATGTCTCAGTGGCCATGTTACAGGAAACACATTTCTTGGAGGGCTCGGCTCTGAAACTCCAAAACAGACTCTACCCCTTTTACTATTTTAACAACCATCCCTCCACACGCAAAGCAGGTGTCGCCATCCTCATTGCCGCAGACCTGGAGTTTCGAGAACTAGATAGAATGTTAGACACACAGAGACATTTCCTTTTTTTGAAGGGCGTCCTAGCCGATAAGGTGTACACATTTGCATCACTATATGTTCCCAAAACAAGACAGGCTCAGTTTATTCGGGGGACTTGAATAAATTAAGGGGATTCGCGGAAGGAACAGCTCCATCCGTAGATCATTGGGCTAAATGAGTCTGATGGATTGTTGGAGGATACTTCACCCCGACACCAAGGACTTCACTCATTGCCCTCCATGACCGCTATTCCCGCATTGACTATCTCTTCATTCAACAGACAGGTCTTTCTCAACTGCTGAAAGCCACTAATGGACCAGCCACATGGTCGGATCATGGGTCGGTCAGTAGAGAGCTAGAATCACCTTTATTTCGACCAGCATTATGGACCTGGCAACTGAACGAAACCTTACTTTTAGATCCCGAGGTATGGGAACAAATATCCCAAGCTCCGGATCTTTACTTTCGAGAAAACAGGTCAGCGGAGATGTCCCCAATATCCATGTACACTCATACGCAGCGCCACCCACAAAAAGAAAGAGGCAATGGAGGAGATGGCTGACGTTTATAAAACCATTCAGAAATTGGACCTACAACACAAGCACACCTAACTGATGGGAGTTTATGAGGACTTGATGCAAGCTGGGCGGCGGCTGAAAGAACTCATCTTACGTAGATATCACCACTCACTGCAACGTTCCAAGGGCTTCTTTCAGACTTATGCAAACAAGGGGGGCAAATTCCTGGCCCGCCTTTTGAAGAGCAATACTCCCCGAACGCAAGTTTGCAAATTGCGTCTATTTTCAGGGGTTACATCCTCCTTCCCGAAGGATATAGTTGAGGAATTCCAACAGTCTTATAGCAACCTCTACAACTCGCACGCAGACGGGAGGAATGCCCAGGTCCAGACCGAACCTACACAAGTTAATGATTACTTACATCATAATGTTATGAATACGGTGCAATGACCATACTTAATGCTCAGATCAATGCAGAGGAACTAGCCGCACCCTTGAAAAGTACCAGCAAAGCTCCAGGGCCCGATGGATTTTCCACGGGCTACTACAAGTACTTCTCTACGTTTCTTATACCGTGGCTGATGAAAACACTAAACGCAGTGGCAGAGGGGGGTAACTTCGGGGCGGAGTCCCTAGCTGCGACCATTACGGTATTACCCAAACCTGGGAAGGATCCGGTGAACTGCAGCAACTACTGCCCAATCTCACTGTTGAATGTCGACACTAAGTTGTTTACAAAGGTCTTGGCAACTAGATGGGAAGCGCAGGATAACACGTTGCGACCCTTCTCCATCCAACAACACGCAAGAAAACTACAGAAACGCCTCTTACTACTCTCGACAGATGCTGAGAAAACATTTTACCAAGTTAACTGGTCATACATGTTAGCTACCCTAATGGGAATGGGGCAGAGAGTGCTTACCTGGATTGCTGCCCTGTACGAAAAATCCATGTGCTTCTGTAC